AAGATATTTTCCTCCTGTTCTCATGGCTAGGGTTCCTCTCTCTTCTCGCGATGTTATGGAACGTCTCTCTTCCGATGTTGAGGCCAGTGAGATTAGGGAGGAAGAGGCTCATATTCTCGCCAGGCGTTTTGATATCCCGCCTAGTGTGGTTGTGCGTCATGCTGATTCGCGTCGTTTTCATTGTTTGGTTCGGGACGAGGCTTGTTTCTTTGAGGCCCCTTTCCTGTTACGGTTGCAGTTCTTCCTTCCCTCATTTATCAGAGAAATTTTGCATTTTTTTGGTTTTTGTCCCGCCATACTTCTTCCTGCAGCCTGGGCGGTCCTGCTAGGATTTGCAGCGATGTGGGGGAGGTTGTTTTCCCAGTCGAGGGCTACTGTTTCAGAGTTTCTTCATTTGTTTCGCCTCGAGGAGGTGTCTGAGTTTTACCATTTTACTCCCAGGAGGGGAGGAGAAGTTCTCATTTCTGACCTTCCTCCGGAGCCTGAAGGGTGGAGGAGGAGATATTTCTTCATTTCAAGAGTTGGCTGGGAATACGGGGCCCATTTTCCAGCGACCGCCAGGGTCCCTACTGAATGGGGTCAGCGCAGGAATCTGGGTAGGTTCCTATCTTTTGTTTTTCTTCTGTTATATTCGTTAATCGTAAGGGAATCCTAATAAGCCTAGGTTATTACATCTTCTTCGGGAGTGATAGCTTTGTTTGCCTTTGTGGCTATAGGCGAGCTATCGCCTTTATCGAGCAAGGAGCTGACCAGAGTCGGATATGTTCGGGCTTGTCCTCCATTTTTGTTTACGAAGCTGATGTGTCACGCTTCGTCCTCTTCGTCGAGTAGTCGTGAGTATCCGACCTCTCGCCACTGTTCATAGTTTTGTCGGGGCCCTTACTTTTCTCTTTGCTCTATTTATGCAATTCCTTCGTACCTGGTTACACAACGAGGGGCGATCCTGGAGCAGGTAGGTCAAAGGAGACGAGCCATGAGTTTTGAACCTCCCGCCAAAAGGGCTCGTTAAGGAGGGGATTATACGGGCTCGGCTCTGGGCGTTGGTGGTGAAGTCCCGATCTCGCCGCCGACTATCGACTTCCTGTCTGGTGTTATAGAGGTGGTGGTACCTGAGTCGGGATCTGGTGCGACAGTAGGTCGAATTGTGGTTAGTGCGGTAACCAGACTGGTTTGGCGAGGTTTCGACTCCGCTGGTATCGTTGGCTCCAGCTCGATGGGTGCTTCATCTGTTCCTTCAATCGATCCCGAGGGCAGTTTGCTGAGGAATATGAGTCTGAGCAGCCACGCATTTATGGTATTGATCCCTCAAGCTGACCTGAGACGTTCTGTGGACCTTCCTTTTCGGGCCCGTTGCCGGGAACCGCTTCATGCCCTTCTTGAGGTAACCTTATCATCTGCTTCGTTATTCCCGCCTTTGTTTATGTAATATTTTTAATTTTTCTTTTTGCTCTCAGTCTGCGACACATGTCTACGCACTTGGGACAGAGATTCATACTTTGAGGAATGAGCTTCGAGAAGTTCGTCAACGAAATCTTGACCTGTAGAATTAGGGTCTGGCCACCGAGGCGGAATTAGAGCGGGCTCTCGACCAAAGAGCTCAAATTTTTAAACAGTTGGTTGCCAGTACTTCTGCTGAGGTGTCTTTTCGGGAGGAATTGGCTCATTCTAGGGAAGACTGTGAAGCCCAAACCTGGGAACTACTTGATTCTGCTATTGCTCAGTCTTTACTGGAGGACCAACTGAGGGACTCGCAGGTTGCAAATGTCAAGCTGGGTAACTCTTTGGTGGTTGAACGTCAGGTGGTTGAGAGTCAGCGAAAGGAGATTGAGAAATCCCGACTGGAGGAGGCCAGGGCTTTGTAGATGGTTTTTTCAATTTTGCCGACCAGGCAATTGAGGAATTCCCTGACTTAGATCTTGGGCGGTTTTCAACCGCGGTTTGATGCTCATTCGGGTGATGGTGTTTCTGATGCTGCTCCACCGGGTCCTTCCTCTGAACAGCTTTAAAGATCTATTTTTGTGTTTTTTTGTTTGTTTTGTTTTTTGTAAACACTTTTAGGTAATGGAATTTTTCTTGTCTGTAAACACTTTTCTGATGTGATGTTTTTGCTCTGCTTGTACTCCTTGTCCCCCTTGCTCCAAAGAGGCCTTGGTCTGTTTGGAGTAAATGTTAATTTCTAGGTGGCTTTTGGGCGTCGCGCAGCCGCGTGATTTTCAGGTAGCGTGCGAAATGGCTGTTCATTTAAGCTAACTGTTAATCGGTTCACCCACCTCTCCGAATCTTGCACCCTCATTTATTGCTACTTCGTCTGCGGGATTCTAACAGTCGTTCCTCTGGGCTATATATTCTCTCATACTTCAAGTCATAGCACTCCCACTTCCTCACAGAGATCTTCTTTCCCAGACGTTTGACTATCTTTGGTGCTCATTTTCTTAGAGGCTTGGACTAATGGCTCCTTCCTCATTTTTTAAAAGCCGCGCTCGAGAGTCTCTGAAGGGTGATTGGTACCCTATCTTTCTGCTTCCATCCACACTCACTGTGGCAGATACTGCTCAGCTAAAGGGGTCTCTATGATCTGCCTGTGGATCTAGTTGTTAGGGTCCCATCCCCTGATGAGCCTTGCAGTATGCCTGCTCCGGGAGAGTTTGCTTTTTTTGAGGTGGCCTTTGCGTGTGGCCTTCAGCTCCTTCTTCATTAAGACTTTGTTTAGATTCTTTCTCACAATGGTCTGTGCTCCACTCGACTTTCCCCTTTAGGATGGGCCGCTTTGGTTGGTTTCTTTACCTTTTGGCGAATGCAGGATTTCGAAGCTTTCCCTACTGTTTCTGAGTTTTTCTACTTTCTTTATCTTTCCTTTGACTCCCCCCCTTCTTTCTACTCTCTTGCTTTCAAATGGTACTTCCACCTACCTTTCATCGCTGACATTCCCCCTTCTCCTGATGGGTGGGCCCAACGCTTCTTCTTCGTATTGGGGGACTTGTGGGAGCCTGTGGTGGATGAAGGGTGTCGCCTTTGGATCCCTCGCTCTTGGGGGAACTTCAGGAAGAGAGGTAATTGCTCTTTATGGATTTTAAATCAGTTTTTACAGTTAAATGTTGTACTGACCTTGTTTCTACCAGCACTGTGCTGTGCAGGTATTCCTTGCCTTACTCCGCAGGAGGCATCCAATGTTTACAAGGTTGAAAAAGCTTCTCCCCTTTCCTATTTTGCCCTTGTTTCACCTTAGAACCTCGCCCGTTATGGGATAGGGGGAAGCTCGACTAGGATCCAGGTCGTGCCTTCCCTGCCCCGTGAAACGGAGGCTGAAGTGGAGGTACTGAAGAAGAGGTTGGTGGAGGTGGAGAGCGAAAGAGATGCTTTGAAGGTGGATCTCCTGACCTGAGCTCACAGGTAGGACTTGTTTGAGGTATCATTAGAAAATATTTTCTATAGAAGTTATATTGTAGTTGTTCCTCAAACACATCATGAAGCTTTGGGCTCTTCCCCTTGATATTGTCAGCAACAGATACTATATTCACTAGCCCGTTTTGGACTGCCTTGTTCGAGGTAATGGACACGCAACTCAACTTCTCCGCAAGAAGTCATTCACAAACGGATGGACAAACTAAACATGTGAATGTTATGCTGTAGGAGTATCTGAGCTATTATGTTACCACAAATCGACATAATGGGGTTAATTTACTAGATGTTGCACAGTTCTGCGGTAACTTGCAGCAAAGTTTCTCTACTAGGAAGAGTCCATGAGTTGACAATAAGCCAACAACCTCTCACTCCACATGAGGTAGCCAAATAGAAATCTCAAGGAAGATGTTCTACAACATACCATGCTTATGCAATGCCTTCACGAGTAGTCTCCTTAGAAAAAAAAGTTGGCAAATAGTAAATTACCCCATGACAGCCAATAATGCTACATTACGTTGGATTAAGGAAATCAATTTCTCTGGTCAAATCGGAATAAGTGTTCACCGGTGGAAGAATAAACATACAAAAATTGAACAATAAAATATAAATAATACTAAACTAACTTTAAAAATAAGATAAAACGCGAGGAATCAAATGCTATGGTACTATAATAATAATGTTTTTTGTTTCTTTTTTGTTGATTTAAAATTTAACTTTTACTTACCATGTATGTTGCTACATACATCGTTAGTCTTTATTTTTACTCATGTTATATAGACTCTTAATCGAATTAGATGCGAATTGTATTTTTTAAAATTACACATTAAAACCATAAATTAGAAGCAAGGTTTAATAAAGAAAGAGTACTAGATACAGAAAAAGCCAATAAAAAGCTCCAAAATATAATTTCAAAAGTTTGGATTAAATAAACAGTTCAAATGATACGACAAATCAATTAAACTCCGCTTATTTATTAGATGTCAAGGTGCCTATTATTTAAGTTGTCAAATTTGATCCACAACTCAGAAAAAGAAAAAAAAAAAAAAGATGATAGAAAAAAATGGGAAAAGACCAAATAAGTTCTAATAGCCTAGATGAACTAACAAATAAAGAGTTACAATCAAATTAAAAAAAAAAACAAAGAAAGAAAGAGTCTATCGGTCTTTCCTTGTGAAGATAAATAAATTATTACATCAGCACCTCTTTATTAATTTTTAAATTATAGATTAAATTTTTTCTCCATAATATTTGTCGCAGCAGCCCTCGTGCCCCACCACCAAAATATGACAAAAAGCTAACGTCATCACTTGCATACAAAAGCTTGAAGAAAACTCCACAGAAGGTTCATTTCGACCATACCCATATAGTCAGATCTCGGACTATTTGGCTTGAATCACACGGCACCTCCTCTCTCGCTCTCTCTCCATCTCTCTACATATACATACACATATATACTCCCCCTAGCAAACTCACACTCTTCATTACCACGCCGTCTCCGGCTAATCTATACACACAGTCACGCACTTCAAAATTCAAACAAAACTATATTTTCTCAAAACACTGCACTTTGAAGTCGTTCAAGTGTATGTAGAATGTCCATGGACGAGAAGAAGAAGCATAGTTTCAGGTACGCTTGCAACCATGGAATCGTCTCACTCGTCGTCCTCCTCCTTCTCTCTCCCACCGTCGGAGCACAACCCGGGCCAGCCGGATCCAACAACCAATACCCATATGCTGTCAAGTTCAGCCCATCCATGGCAATCATCATAGTAGTCCTCATCGCAGCTCTCTTCTTCATGGGTTTCTTCTCCATCTACATCCGCCACTGCTCTGACGCCTCCGGTGGCAGCAACAACGTCCGTGCTGTCCTCACCGCCCGCTCCCGCCGTGCAGCGGCGGCGCGTGGCCTAGATCCAGCAGTCGTCGACAACTTCCCTACTTTTGCCTACTCCGAAGTCAAAGGACGCAAGATCGGCAAAGGTGCTTTAGAATGCGCAGTCTGTTTGAATGAATTTGAAGACAATGAAACTCTCCGTTTGATTCCGAAGTGCGATCACGTGTTCCACCCTGAATGCATCGACGCCTGGCTCACCTCTCATGTGACCTGCCCGGTCTGCCGGGCCAACCTCGTGCCACAACCCGGTGAATCCGTACATCTCCCTGAACCGGTAATTGATATAGAAAGTCAGGCTACGGACGAGGTACATAGCACAGCCAATGAGCAAGAAATGCCTGAAGTTTTGAACCGGGCTTCGAGTTTGAATCAGAACCGGCCACCAAGATCTGGGTCTGTGAGAGCGAAACTGTTCGGCAAGTTTAGGTCGCATTCAACTGGGCATTCTTTGGTTCAACCGGGGGAGAATATAGACCGGTTTACTCTAAGGTTGCCGGTGGAGGTAAGGAAAGAAGTGATGGACCGGGCTTTACTAAACCGGACGGCGAGTTGTGTGGTGAGGCTACCAAGAGAAGGGAGTTCAAGAAGGGGGTATAGAATCGGGGAAAGCAGTAGTAGGATTAGGTCTTTTAAGCGGTTGGAAAAATTGGACCGGCCAATGGGTTCAGACCGGTGGGTGTTCTCAATGGCTCCACCATTTTTTTCGAAGACAGCATCGGTTAGGTCCCCGAAGGTTGCGGTGGATACTGGCGAGGGGTCCACATCCTCGAGGACTTCGAAGGGTGGGATGATTAAAATGCCCTCGTTTAATTGTTTGGAGCCAAAGGGTGATGAGTCCGGTCTGGTGTCGGCTGACTCGGCTAAGCCTCCGGTTCAAAGTCATCCGCCGGTGTAGAGTGGGTTGCCTTAGCTACCTCAATTGTTCATAGCAAAATGTCAATTTTGGAGTTCTATAAGTTTGTATAGTACTTGTAATTTTATTGATGGAGTGATTGATGGGTTTCCATTTTCTGGCAAAGGGTCGGTTTGTATCTGGCCACTGTTGAAAATTTTGGCCGTGACCGGTTCAAATTCGGGTTTCAAGGTTGACTAGGCCTTGCCCGTTTACATAATTATTTTTGTTTTTTTATTTTATATAAATAATAACAAAGTCTACACTTTCTTTTTCTTTTTTAAAATTTTGTTCCTTTTGGATGAAGGGTTAGGTTTACGGCTGTTGGCCAGATCAGCTCTAATCATCATGTTAAACTTTGTAAATATATATAAATTAAAATGCAAAGATTTTTTGAGATCCTAATTATTTTTTATTTTCCATAAAATTCATGCATGCACAACAGACACTAGCTACTCGGTGAAGATGAGGGTGGGTTTAGCATTGTTAATATAGCAGTGTTACTTAACATGTCTAAGTTAATTGGTCACGCTTGATTTTCAAAATTAGAAATTAGGGGGTCAAAAGATAAGGATTGATTTCTTATGTTATTATACCACTTTTTCATACTTCTTTTTTATTTGTTATAATAATGGTTTATTTCAATCTCTGCACAATAATGACATATATTGTAGTTGTAATAATGCTCTATCATCATATATAAAAATAAAAGGATAAATTGCACCAATAGTCCGTGAAGTTTACTATTAGTCGAACTTTAGTACTTAAAATTTTAATTTATTCAATTTAGTCCTTAAAATTTACTTATTAGACCAATGTGGTCATTCGCACTACTAGTCGTTTGCTAATAAGTGACTGAAAATAACTTGTGTAATGAATATGATACAATCAAGAGGCATTTATTTCTTCATACTTGCAAAACAAATGGCACAAATGAATTCCGTTTCAGATCATCTATCTCAGGTCTGAGTACAAACTTTTTCTTTGCGTAAGAACACAGATGTCACTTACCACCACGATTGCTTATCACCATGACTAATTATTGCAAAGGTTCTCACATCCTTTCTCTATCTCTCCCACTAGTGGCCCGATATCACCTATTTCGTGGCGCCGCCACCAATTTCATCACCACGACTCCAACACCACCCGCCTGCCCTTATTTGTTTATCCCTTTCTCGTAACACCACCACTATGCCTTCACTTACCTGATGTCACCCCCACCTCTTTTCTCTCTTTGTTTACAATTTTTCGATTACACTTTTGATTTTTGTGTGTGATTTCAATGGTCGTGGTACTGGTTTAATAAGAATTGTGGTAATAGTTGGGGTGGTGTGTGTTTGGTGATTGAAGTACAATTAGACCTAGGGCAGATAAAGAAAGGAATGTGTGTTGAAATACACAGTTTTAGAAGGATGAAGAAGATGAAGACAGAGAACTTTCATTGCTGATTTATTTTTCATTACCACTTAATCTATACATGATGTTGTATTTATACACAATTCTTAGACTAACAAACTGTCAACTCTGTTACAGATCTTGCTGAGCTGGACATGAGTTAGTTACAACAGTTTCACATGTGTTGATCAGCTGGATTTGGTTGAGCTGCTGTAGTGTGCTGAGGTTCATTTGTAACTAACAGCGAGGAAGCTCAATTGGTTAATACACCCCCTCAAACTTATGGGGGGGGGGAACAACCATAAGTTTGTCTCTAAGAATCAAAAACCTAGCTGTGGGAAGACTTTTGATGAAAATATCAGCTAGTTGATCCTTGGTAGAGATATAGTGGACTGCAAGAGATTTCTGAGCTACCCTCTCACGAATAAAATGAAAATCAATCTCTATGTGTTTGGTTCTGGCATGGACCATTGGATTTGAGGCAAGAGTCAAAGCGAAAATATTGTCACACCAAAGCTTAGGAGGAGAGGAAGGTTGAATATGAAGACTCTGTAGCAGTTTCTGTTCCCAAATAACCTCAGCTGTAGTATGAGCAAGTGCTCTGAATTCTGCCTTTGTGGATGATCTAGAGACAATCTGCTGCTTCTTAGTGGACCAGTGAAAAGGATTATCACCCAGATATAGAAGAAAACCTGTTGTAGATCTACGATCAGTAGGATCTCCTGCCCAATTAGCGTCAAAAAATGCTAAAAGACTAAGAGAACTAGGTTGATAGAGAAGACCAAAGGTACTTGTTCCTTTAAGATGCCTGAGAATACGTTTGACTGCCGCAAAATGAATGTCTGTAGGCTGATTCATGTATTGATAGGCATGATTAACAGCATAAGTGATATCTGGTCTAGTGAATGTAAGATACTGTAAAGAGCCCACTAGACTTCTATACAATGAGGGATCTGGTAGGAGAACACCAACAGTCTTGCTAAGTCTAGAGGAGGCTGCAGAAGGTGCTTTGCAAGGCTTACAATCAACCATCTTGGCTTTGTGAAGCAAATCAGTAACATATTTCTGCTGAGTAAGAAAAATTCCTATATAGGTGGACTAAACTTGTATTCCAAGAAAGTAATGAAGAGGACCTAAGTCTTTCATCTCAAAAGATTTATTAAGATTGGACTTAAGAGTTTGAATGTATGTGAAATCATTACCAGTGATGATAATATTATCCACATAAAGAAGTAAGATGGTGAGAGAACCTGAAATAGATCTAATGAATAAAGATGGATCAGTTGGAGAAGCATGAAAAGAATAAGTGTGAAGATGAGTAGTGAATTTCTCAAACCAGGCTCTAGGAGCCTGTTTGAGACCATAAACAGATTTGTGAAGTTTGCAAACATAATGAGGAGTAAGAGGATCAAGGGAACCTGGGGGCTGGGTCATATAGACATCCTCATGAAGAGAACCATGTAAAAAGGCATTCTTGACATCCAACTGGTAGAGAGGCCAATTAAAATTTGTAGAAAGAGCAAGAATGAGTTTGACAGCGGCATGTTTCACCACAGGACTAAAAGTTTCATTGTAATCAATGCCAGGTTTTGATGACAGCCTTTAGCAACAAGTCTTGCTTTGTATCTAAAGATTGAACCATCAGAATTTTGTTTAATGCGATAGACCCATTTACAACCAATAAGATTATGATGAGGAGATGGTGGAACCAAGGACCAGGTACCTTGCTGCTGCAGTGCAGAAAACTCTTCGGACATAGCCTGTCTCCATTCAAGAGACTTGGATGCTGAGGTAAAGGAGGTAGGTTCAGCCAAAGTTGTAGTAGCTGAGTAGACCTTTGGTTTGAAAATACCAGAGTTGGATCTTGTTGTCATGGGATGAGTAGAAGGAATTGTGGCTAATGGAGGTAAAACTGGAGGTATAGACACTGCAGACTCTGTGAGTACAGGACTCTGTGATGTAGTAGGTGATACGACATTAGAAAGAGAAGATGGTGGAATTGAACTTGAAGACTGAGAGGACTGTCGGACTGAAGATAAATGATTAAGAAGAAAAGGAGACACATCATGCTGGACAGGGGAAGGATGTGGTCCCAGCACTGAGGTTGGAGATGAGGATGTGTCATTAGAAGAAGAAGGCAACTAGTGATCAAGATTAGGAGTAAATTGTGGAAAGTGAACAGAATCAGAAAAGGGAAACAATGCTTCATCAAATATTACATGTTTGGAGATAAAGATCTTGTTGGATTTAGGATCATAGCAGAGGTAACCTTTGTAATCAAAAGGATAACCTAAGAAAATGCATTGGGTTGTTTTAGGTTGAAGTTTATGTTTGTTATAAGGTTTGAGAAGAGGATAACATGCACATCCAAAGATTTTAAGAGCTGAATAATCTGGTTTGGTGTGATAGAGAAGTTCAAAAGGTGACATAGATTTTGTAGTTTGACTAGGCATTCTGTTGATGAGATAAGTGGCTGCAGCAAATGCATGAAACCAGAAGGATGGAAGCAAAGATGCTTTAGACAAGAGAGACAAAGAAGTTTCAGTAATATGTTTGTGCTTCCTCTCAGCAATGCCATTTTGCTGAGGGGTGTGAGGACATGATTTTATATGATGAACACCATACTGACTTAGATAGTGCTGAAGCTGACGACCAATATATTCACCACCACCATTAGAGTGAAACACTTTCAATTTATGAGAAAATTGATTCTCAACATAAGGCTTGAACTTGGCAAAGACAACAAAGGCATTAAATTTATTTACTAATGGAAAAATCCATGTAAATCGGGTACAATCATCAACAAATGAAATGTAATATCTAAAACCATGAAGTGAAACTTGAGGTGCACCCCCAAATATCATTGTGTACAATCTGTAAAGGAGACTTAGAAAGAGAAAAAGGAAGCTTAGACATTTTCCCATATAGACAGTGCTCACAAATACATGAAGTAGATTTAGCAGAAGAAGTAGGTAGATTCAGCTGAGAAAGAATCTTTTGCTGAACAGAAGTAGATGGATGCCCAAGGCGATCCTGCTAAGATTGATCAGTGATCCTTGTACCAAGATATGTAGTAGGAGAGGAGTTGAAATTGGTGAGAGCATTGATGGGATACAAGCCATTACTACTCTGACCTTTGTAGAGGACTTGCCCTGTGGCTTTGTCCTGAATGACAAAAGAAGTAGCATCAAATATGAATTGACAATTATTATCAAGACATAGTTGTTTGACAGAGATGAGATTTGTAGCAATTGAAGGTACTCGAAGGACTTTGTTAAGTTTGAAACAGTGAGAAGGAGTTTGAAGAAGAGATATACCTGTATGAGTGATAGGTAACTTATGTCCATTTCCAATAGACACTTTGTCTTCACCAAAATAAGGAGAGGCAAGAGATAGATCTGCAAGGCTTGAAGTGATATGATGGGAAGCACCACTATTAGTAAGCCAAAAATTTGGACTCTGTTGACCAGATGTAGCAGCCATAGCAGTGTAGGGTGGAAATTCAGGTGTATAGTCATTGGGATTGAACTGCTGATTAAAAGAATAGTCTGAGGTAGCAGTCATAGCATTGAATGAAGCTGAGGATTGATGATTTTGGCCCTGATAAG